AAACATTACACCTCTGTAACTATCGATGGAGTTTATTTTATGACTGGCGAATACTATGTTATTAATTTAAAAGAGATCGAAATAGAATTTGGACGGTTGCATAAGATAAAAAAAGTAATGGAACAAAAAGAAGATTCCTTAATAAAAAAAAGAAAGATGGAAGAATGTGTTGAGTTATACTTTGAATCTTATGTCAAAATTCTATTTTGCCATCAGCTACTTCAGTAAAGAAAAATAGTAAACATTTTATTATAACGCGGTTCAAATTGTAAATTTTAAATTAAAACTACGTATTATCTATTTTTAAGACGTACTGTACATAAATATATGTAATAATTGATAAGTAATAACATTAAGTCATTAGAATTATAAATTTTAATGTATTTTAACTGTGATTAAATCGATTATTAAATTAAAAATTAAAATTAAAACACAGCCGTATTTAATTAATGAAACTTTTTCTGTAAGGTGCTGTTTTTAATTAACTCATTTTTTTGCATATTGATTTAAGTGCATACGTCCGAATTTTTGCGTTGGATTTACTGTATGTTATTATACATAATAAACTTGGTTTTTAACATTAAGGTCTACTTTACTGGCTTTATGAATCATAATGCATTTAAACTAATCACATTTTAACCGACGAATACATATAGGTACGATTTTATTCTCATGCTTAACATATGGTACACTCTATGATGCAGTACTTGCGCTATTCTGACAGCTCAACGCTCGAGCCAGTCTAGTGGTGCAGCTGACGTGCTAGTCTGGTGTACCGTGCGTTCCAAACAAGCGGTAGCTCAACCATGCCACTTTAAGGACGTATCACGCGCTAGTTCTCTCTCAGTGCAGTTGCTAGAGGTAACTAATTCTCTTGAGTTCTGAGAAGGACTCGGGATCCCTAAAGACTGGCACATAGTGAAGAGAAAATGAAAAAAAAAGTCAAGATTAAAGATTGATGTGAGTTTTTGACAAAAATGGAATCTGTTAATTGGTATACATTCCTAAAATCATAGTGGATAATTTCAGCTACCACTTTTTTTGTTAGAAACCTCATGGTATTTCCAGTGCTTGTACAACCTTCAAATTTTAGTTGCAATTTCCTTAACAGGCATAAAAAATGATATTTTACGAGAACTTTTCTTAATTGATGTACAAAACCAATATTTAAAGTTGTTTGGTATCACGTAAAATATTTGTTAGGCAAAAAATTAATTGTTTTAAATAATTTCTAGCATTATTATAGGTTTAAACAATATTTCAACGAGTGTTTCGTTCCCACGTGTAATGATGAATGTTACCTATGTACTTGAGAGAGATTTCTGCCTTAGCAAGTTTTTAATTAAATGACATACTCAACTAAAAAGACATTTAACCTTTGTATAAATTGATTACCTAATATACGTATAGTTAACTAATATTTTCACGTTGTTAAGAGTTTAAAAAATATCTTGGTTTTGTGCTAACGGATATTATACTCTTCTTTATGGTTTCCATGAGTCCTGTATTTAATTTCGATGAATCATTGATCGATTAAATTAGTATACTAATACTAATTGACAGTTACTAATAGCTAATTAATAATAATGGTAATTAATCACAAATACTTAGGTTTGTTAATATAATGAAGAGGCTACTCGTTGCTGTGGTATATTTATTAGCTGATTCCGATTATGATAAGAAATTGTGCAATAGTTTTGTTGTACTAAAATTTATTACTACTAATTACCAAAAAGAAAAATCTCCATGTTATAAAGATTTGGTTACTTGCTATTAAGCTATTTTTGAGATTTGATTATTATTAATATGTTTAAATTGTGGTAGTATTCCTTGAACATACATGAGTAACGAAATGTTTGTTGACAATTTGCATGTTTCTTTAAAATTTTAGTTTAAAGTTATTTTTGTGCGTTTGTACACCTTTACACCCGTATCATTCAAGAAAAGTGGATGCTTCAACTTTATATGCCATTACTATTCAATAAAACAAATTCAATCCGAAAAAACGTAATGATTTAAATGCGGATGATAAAGTTTAAAACACACACACACACACACACAATACAAATCTTTTCAATCAACGTGTATCAAATATTTTTGGTGATATAAATTACTAATTTTTTTTGTTTATTTCACTACGCATAAGTGTTCTTATTGTTCAGCAGTTTAGAAGAGGTTAGGTGCCATAGATTTAGAGTCAAAAATAAAGCCTACAAAACTTGCATTTTTGATTTGGGATAGGACGAATTTTCGATTCAATTATAAGAAATCTTAATTTACGAGTATAATGTAAACCTTAGTGAAGTTTTTAGCACATATGTCATGTTAATCTCCCAGTAAAAGGAAGTCGTCTAATAGTTCGATAGAATTAGCTTTTGAGATCGGGAAATTAATAGTAGCAAGAAAAAATTATTATTGCTAGCTTTTGTGTTTATAACAAATTTAACTACTTTAAAACACCTAAAAAAATCAGCAAAGGCCCCAAAAAAATGGTAAAAGTGGCCAAAACAGGTCTTTTGCGCCTAGAAAAAAAACTAAAAACTGTAATTTCCTATTTTTTATGAAAAAATGGGAGCCTTCCAGCTGTGCAACTTACATTTTTGTGGAGATATTTTTTACTAAGCTTTTTATATCTTGCTCGGTTAGTTTAGCTATTTTTAAGTTTTCCAAAGAGTTCCTGCCACATAAAAATTCATTCACTTCGGTGGTGCTTAATGTGCGTTTTTTTGACGTGTTCAAGTTAGCCAAGATGAGGCTTTTCTGTATTATGTTCTCATCATGTACTGCATTAGAGATCAACCGAGAAAAATCACTCCAGGCCGTAATTTTTTTAGCATCAGCTTCTATTTCACGTTCCAAAAGCGATGTGAGAACTTTGGCGATATCTTCCATACAAGCTTTGAGCTTTTTTTGTTTGCTTACAATTCTATCGTTTCTTGTAAGATATGACTTATTTATTGAGAGCTTCATCTCCTTGTTTATTTTTTGCTGGTCTAGGAATAAGCGATTTTGGGTGCTTTTTACGGAGCTCTGCTCTCTTCTCTTTTGGTGACACAACTTGCATTTCTCTGCCCAACGCACAGCAAAAGTGGAGTGAACTGCTAAAGCTAAATCTCTTTCTTCCACTGTGCGCTGCCCTATTACTCCAAGAATATTACCACTAAGGTCCTTTTTAGTCGCAGATGCATCTTTTTTTGGGTCGTTGCCTTTCTTGAGTGAAGTCTCTCCATCGTTTGCACTCAGACTATTCCAGGGTGATAAGTCTGTAATGCAAGTATTAAGGAGACGTTAAGTCTCGGAAGCTGTTTGAGATAAGGCCTCGTATGCAAAATCACGATTGGTGTTTTTCGCATGTCTAGATTCACAAGGAAACATACTTACGTAGACCTATTATGTCGAGAAACAATATATAATTTTTAGATTAGGTCATATACGAGGTGTATGCGACATATATGCATTGTCTCTCACGCAAATCAAATGTTGCCTTTCTAGGTTAGAGCTCAGTGTTACTAAATGCATTACTAAATTCGATGAATTCACACGCCAAATAGGTTGGCTGTGTTGCATGGGAGCTTCTTTTTTTAATTTTCACCTCTAGATTTATTTTTGGATGATGAGCTGGAGTTGGAATCTTGTGGCTCATGGCAGTGCCTTTTTAGAGATGGAGGGCGGCTGTCCAAGCAAACAGAGCTCAAGCTTCTAGAACTTCGACGGCACCGTATTTTTTTTCTTTTTTTCTTCGATTTCTTTTTAATACTCTTCAATGCCTCCTTTGCAATGATATTACGTTATTCCTCTGACAAATAATCTCGATGTCTCTTCTTGTTGCCCATTTTTTTCACCTTGCGAAAAAAGACGTGTGACTTTTACAAATACTCAGTGTACAAATTCAAACTTATCGTACTATTTTGCATATATATGGTGTGGAAAAGGCCAAATATAGTTTTTTTAGAGCTTAATATTAATATTCGTACATCTATCTACAAAAGTATATTTAAAAATAAAAATCCTGGCGAATTGGATGTCTGAAGATACACACAACCCATACGTACAGTAACTGTTACGTTTGTGCAAAAATTTGAGTGCATAAAGATTTTGTAAAAACACTTTGTTTATAGTTATTCAGTGATATAATATGTAAAAAAATGAATACAAAACTTTTTGACCATCATGAATACAAATTTAGTAGGTTTTTTGAACCAGAAATTTTTAAACTTTGTTACATTAAAGTAGGTAATTCGTATATAAAATCAGTCTTAAATGAGTATATTCATGGCAATCGTAAAATTTGAGTGTCATGTTTTTACATTTACTTTCTGTTTGCATAACTCACTAAATTTAAAATTTAGATTTCCAAGAATTATAATAGTCGTAACTTTGCTTAATAATTTAAAATTATTACGCATCAATTTTGTAAATTTTACTTTATACCTATACATACATTAATTCCAGATTTTATACTTTTTTATCTTATCTTTTGATTAAATTGTGACTCCTAACGTTGAATCCAGTATTAATAGTAGTAGCCAATACAAATAGTGTTAATGATTCTGATAGTTGCTTGTATGTATTGAATATAGTTAACTCTAGTCATTTCTTCGCAAATAATACTATCAAGCCACATAAGTCTCAACAAGCAAAGAGCCAACATTTATTGTGTTCTGTGCTTCACTAACTGCTATTAGTGTATGTATACGCTATTAAATAGATAAACTAAACGCTATTTTCAAAATGGCTAAAATCATCGAAAGTTTTTATTTCCTCGGCAACTCCTAAACAACAACTAAAAGATAAATTACTTAGTTCTCATTATGTTACAAAAATTTATAACAGATACAAATTTGAAATTAATTTACAGAAGAAAGTCAGTGGAAAGTACGGATTCAATTTACTAAATTTTAAAAGATTGAGGAAAACTTAATTCAAGTCAAATTTTAAGATTACAAAACTTTATTACGTGTACCAACTAAATAATAATGTGCTCTAAAAATCAAACTTACTTTTTAGCGAGCTTTTGTCTTTCTTCGGGGGTGTAGTCCAGAGAACCTATGGTTCCATTTCCAGGAGTTGGCATAAAGGCTATAAGTGCAAGCAATGCTGTTCTGATGCTCCAGGATGGTTGCCATGTTTCAGGATGATGACCAGATATACTTAAACAAATTTTTTTATTTATCTCAAATCGTCCATTTGGCTGTAACATAATCAGATGTAAGTTAATATATCAGAGGTTACATTTCAAAGCTAGAAAAAAGAGGCAAAGCTGTACTAACAGTCAATAAAATAATATTAGGTGGCTTCATGGGGTACTCTGGAGGAAGGATGATACGACCATGATATACACCTCCCTCGAACTCTGTGGACATTGGACCCTGGACAGTAAAGTGCCATTCAAAGAGATTTTCTTCCAGAGGGTAAGAATAGTACTCTTCAGTTGGTTTATGCAGTTCTTTTGCCTCACGCATAAGCCGCTTGACAGCTGAAATATTTATCTCTTCAGTATTTATAAATCATGATTTTATATTATACAAAAAACTAAATTTTACAATTCACAATAGTGCATATGGTTCCATTATTTGCACAACTTCAAACGCTGCAATCTCTGAGTATTGCAAGAAAAATTAGTTGCCTTTGAAACAGAATTTTGTATAAAATATCTTTAGGGTAAGACTGCCCTTATTTTACTTAATTATTACTCGAGGGCAGTAAGGAGATAATTAAAGTTTCCTACCATATCATTAAGGATACTTTAATTATACAGCTGTGTAACATTATTTATTTAACAGCTAGCTATTTTATTGAAAAAAAAAAATAGCCGCACATATCTTGACACTTGAAAGAATCAATCAAGCCCACGCTTGACAAGATTGTTTTTAGAACAGCAGACTTCATCACGGTACCTTATGCACGTACACGTGCCCCCCGTCACCTTCCCGCGGGAGCGACCCAACTCCCTTAACGTAACATTACTAATAAGGTAGAAAACTCTAACTATCTCCAAACTGCCATTCAATTTTTTTTCTTATTTATATAATACATTATACAATGCATGTGTACAACACCTTATTATGCACATATAATGGAAAGTAAGGAGAACAAATTAAGAAAAGGAGTTTAATTCATATCGTTCTCGAACACTATCTGAACTCATCACTCGCTTGCTAACGGTACCTATGCAAAATTAAAATTAAAACTGATTATATGTATTGTACATCGCTAATCACCTATCTTCACTTACTTTTGATAAAGCACATCACTTGTTCTTCGAAATAAAGTAGTTTTGCGTAAGTATTTAACACTTAACAAGTCATAAAATTCTTAAAAATTGATTCCCAAGTATAATTTTCACAACAAAACATAAATCGATACTTTTTTTCAGTCTTACATATTGCCTAATCTTCTTTACCTCAAGAAACTCCGAAATAAAGCAGTTTTGCATATTTTTTGATCGTTTTGAACGTAATAAAATTCTTAAAAAATAGTGATTACATGAATGATTTCTCTAAAACATGAATCAGCACATTATTCTAGTCTAACATGCTACTGAAACTTCTTAAGTTCAAGCAACTTTAAAATACACTAGTTTTGCGTAGTTTTAGATCGTACTACACATCAAAAAATATTTTTCCAACTTTTTTCAAGGTAAAAAACTTAAATATAAAGCATTTATTCATGATTTTTACTGTTTTGGAAGTGAAATTATTCAGAACAAATTGTATGGTTTTTTATTTTCACTACTTAATTATAAATCATACTAGAGTGGGTAAACTAGATACCCCTATTTGATGAAAATCCAGACTAGGCCAAAAAAAATTTTTTTGCGTAGATCTCGAGCCCGATAACAAACGTAACCACTTTCAAACAAAAAAAATGTCAGCAAAAGGTCCAAAAAATGGTAAAAATGGTCAAATCAGGTTTTTCGCTTCTATCGGAAAAGCTGTAATTTGACCAATAAACGTTCTATATGAAAAAGATGCGCAATTATAAGACTAACAAAATGAGCTCTAGTGAACCAAAATCAGCCTTACCGTTTTTCCGCAAATTGCCAAAAACTGCCGATTTCACCCTATTTTTCGGTATTTTATAACTATAGTTCTAACTAATATTTTGACTTCAAATTTCAACAGAACATGGGTTTTATGATACTTAACAAACCTACAAAATTTTAAGACGATCGGGTGTAAACTTTTTGCAAACCGTCAACTAAACTAAAAAAAGTTCCTTCCGAAAAATGGCTCTAAAGAAGTTGTTAGACCACATAGAACCATTTTCAAAATGTTTTCTCTTAGTAAGATGTTAATCTAAGACTGCTTAAATTTTTGTATTTCTACCTTTTTCGTAAGTATCCTCAAAATGTATCAGAAAATAGTGTTTTTTTGCCAAGTACCAGTGGCAGCGCTGGATCGTCACAGCCGCGGCGCTGCGAAGAAGTGTGCGCAGTTTCAATAGGCGGAGCACTCAATCCAGCACGGCCGCAAGCCACTGCGGGTACTTTGCGAAAAAACACTATTTTTCGATACATTTTTAGGGTACTTACAAAAAAGTTAGAGATACGAAAATTTAACCAGTGTTAGATTAACATTTTATTAAAAGAAAACATTTTGAAAAAAGATTCTACGTGGTCTAACCTTTTTTTAGTTTATTTGACGGTTTGCAAAAAGTTTACATCCGATCGTCTTAAAATTTTGTAGGTTTGTTAAGTATCATAAAACCCATGTTCTGTAAAAATTTGAAGTCAAAATATTAATTAGAACTATAGTTATAAAATACCGAAAAATAGGGTGAAATTGGCAGTTTTTGGCAATTTACGGAAAAATGGTAAGGCCGATTTTGGTTCACTAGAGCTCATTTCGTTCGTTTTAACATTGTGCATCTTTTTCATATACAAGATTTTTTGGCCGAATTACAGCATTTTCGATAAAAGCGAAAAACCTGATTTTGCCATTTTTACCATTTTTTTGGACCTTTTGCTGACATTTGTTTTGTCCGAAAGTGGTTACGTTTGTTCTTGAGCTTGATATCTATACTAAAAAATTTTTTTTGGCCCAGTCTGGATTTTTCAGTCGAAAATCTAGTTTGCTCACACTTTACGTATTTTTTACAGATAATATCGCTGTGTGTTACTATTCCCTAAACAATTATTGATACATGCATTTTACTTCATTTATAATCATTTTTTACCGTTTTATTACCCGTAGCGTGTAAAGAAAAATCCAATATATTGATACATAGATTTTTAAAGAACAAAAATAATCTTATGTAAGAAATATATTTATTATGTTGAAGAAATGATAATGAGATTATTCAAGTTTGCGATTAAAAAAAAAAAAATTGAAGTACAAAAATTTAATATTGGGTAGCTTTCCGCTAATTAGTTGACAGCAGTTCATATTTTTCTTAGCAGTATTCAGTTGTAAATATTTCTTCAGTTGCACTCTAGTATCTAATTGCACTTAAGGTATGTTTAGACGAGACTTTGAAACCATAAGCTTTAGAAATTTTTGGTACTGATTGCACTGAAGACAATTTTTTTGCCTGTTTTCCAGAGTATTCTGTATTCTGACGAAGTCTTGTTGACTGTAGTAAAAAAATGTGATGTTAAAAACTTGTTCTTCGCCTTTTTTAAAAAGTTGGTTAGAATTTAGGATGAAGTCATTTTCTTTATCGTATAAGCTGACATGTGTTGCTTGACTTTTTAATGTTGCCTCTACTCCGTCGCAAGCTCCCTTGCTGGGCGCCGTAGCATTAAAACTCAATTTTGCCCTAAAAAAATTTTTTTCTTATGGTGTACTAAATTAATCACTTTAAACTAGTTATTAAAAAGCTGCACTGCTTTAACTGACATATTAAAAAAAATTAAAATTTTTTAGCATGGTGATAGTTTCTTTTTTGATGAAATTTAAAATTGCACTATTTGAAAAATATGTACATTTATTATGTATTGTTAAAATTAAACTATTAAAATTAGAATCCGAATTTGTAAAAAATATTTTAAAACACACTTTATCTGTTCACCATTTTCTTGGAATAACAAAAAAATTTACATTTTTATTTTCTATTTTTCATAATAACTTTGAAAACTTGGCATTATTTAAATGAAGATTATCACCTTATTCATGTATTTGAAATGATGGCTATGGGAATGAAAATTTTAGTCATTTCAATGGCATTTTACTCATGATGCTGATTTTAATGACAGAAAGAACTTATCAAAAATCACCCTATAAAAAATTTTGTTTGGTTCCGAAAGGCCTATTATCATTGTTAAAGTCTCGTTATCAATTATCAACTTTTTCTAAAGATTTTTTTTGGATCTTAGAAGCTTCATCCTACATAATTTCATCAAGTACCTGATACTTTTTAAGATTGTAGTTTCAAGAATGCACTTTTAATATTGTCTAATTCTAATAGTAATTCAGAAGTTTTTCAACTTGTCAATTCCTTAAGATATCATATCAAGAAATATTAAGGCAATATTGATTAAAATAAAATAATAAATCGAAGTTTTGTACAAAAATGTTTTATGTGTACCACCTAGATCGCCAATAAAAATAATTTTATGTTCAATGTCACATATTTGATCGAAAATCTACTTTTGTTTACCGTTTATTAGAGAATACAATTAATGAAACTTATTAATGCTATACGTTATGTTACTTGTGTCATTACTTTTTTCTGTACAATTGTTTACGGGTATAGGTACATTTAAACTTTTTCGACACGCCGTATAAGACATCTGTTGTGGCTCTAAGAACCTTGATTTACACATGCTCCTCATAGCTCGTGCTGCGTACTTGTGCTAGTGCGTGTGGACGTCAAGGTCTTTGCAGAGCCACATTAGATGGCTTATAATTTCGCTCCCTGCGCACGATGTGTCGAAAAGTTGTACACACTGCATCGACGAGAGGTTATGTGACTGACACGCGTGCGTCAATCGCCTTCCCAACGTAGTAGTAATGTAAAGTACAATAACATTTTTTATTTCCAGACTCAAAAACCTCATTTAACTAAACAAGTGCATTATTTTCTTTGTTATTTAAATAATCTTCTGAAAAGCAATACTTAAATTTCTTCCAAATTGTATCACTTAGAAAAATTGCTGAAAATAAAAACCAAGTGAAAAATTAGTGTAAATAAAATGGTCTGCTTACATTAACTACTTTTTTGAAAATCTTTTTGATTGGAGAATCGTGATTTACTGAACCCATACTAATAGCAATTTCTTCAAAATTTTTTCACGTGTTTTTCAAGTCTATTAAACTTAAAGCACCTTTTTATATTCAATATTAATAAAAAAAGCTCTTAGTCTGTTCGAAAAAACACATCCAATCTACCTACATTTATGATTTTTTTTGAAGTGAAACTTCTCATGGCAAGTTGTTAATTTTTTCGAGCGACACGAAATTTCTGAGCCCCCCACCACTCCAGCGGCTCTCTCTCTGCTTCGTCCCCCTTGCCGCCAGAGCAGTGCATATACGC